ATTGATTGTAATCGAAATCCAAGTATATTTTTCTGTCACTCTTTGAAACATCTACATGTATTTTTCAAAAACCACTGGTTGATACTTGACTACGTCATGTGCATCGATCGATTCATTTTTCAATTCAAAAAAATAAGCACAAAGATTCGTTGAGTCGCAAAAATTTTCCCTCTTAAAATATTCCACGCGATATTTTCTATTAGACATAAATTCTTACGCAAGTTAATATTGAAAATTTCAAGAGTAATTACCGCTAGTACATGCCCAACATTTTCGAAGAACAAATTTATTTGTTAGAAGCTTTTTTCTCTTCCTTTTTTTTATTTTTTTTTTTTTTTTATAACGTTTTATAAGAGTTAAATAACCGATCGACTAAATCGCATTTATGGTTTTCCTGAATAAATATACCTACACACACACACACACACACACACACATATATATATATATGTAATCTGTTGTTTAAAATGAATAAATTTACGAATGAAAAAAAATATTCGTCTGCTACTACAATTTTTTATCAATAAACAAAACGAAAATATTCCAAAATATTCGATTCCATCAAAAAAAAAAAAAAAAAAGAAAAAAAGAATATTAACATCTTTGCAATAACGTCATGAAATATGCTATATAAATAATAATAATAATAATAATAATAATAATAATAATAATAATAATAATAATAATAATAATAATAATAATAATGAAAACAAAAAAAAAATAAAAAAAAATAGAAAAAATGTTACATGCAATAATCAATGAATATACACGTATGTCTAACATACATACGTATAATAACGAATTATGCATTAACATTTAATAATAACATTTAATATCGATATTATAAACTTTGTTTATTTCTTCAGGATTTTTCTTTTTTTTTTTCTTTTTTTTTTTTTTTTTTTTTCTTAAGTTTCCTTCAAATTCAAAAAAAATTCTTGGTGTTAATTTTAAAGATCCATTATTTCCCTTCGCTCTTTTCCTTCCTTTCTTTCTTTCTCCTTTTTTCTTTCTGTTTTGTTTTTCTTTCTTGTTTTTTTTTCTTTTTTTTTTTTTTTTTTTTTTTCTATGAACCAAACAAGTACGTCGGCGGTTGGCTTACATTATCGTTAAGCCGGAATAGTTTTCATTAAATGTTAAAAGAGAAGAATAAATGGGACGAAATAGAATAGACCAGCATCAAGGACAGAAAGGTCAAGTGGTAGCGAATGAAATTTTTCTCGGATACAATTTCACGCGTGGAAATGCTTAGATGTACTTTCAAAGAAACTCGCGAAGGTTTTATCGGCATCAATCCCTTTCACCACCACTACCATCATCATCCCCCAGCTCCTTCTCCTTCTCCTCTTTCCCCTTCCCCTTCACTCCTTCTCATTCTTCCTTTCTTTCTTTCTTTCTTTCTTTCTTTCTTTCTTTCTTCTTATTTTCCTCTTTCTCTCTTACTTCCTATCTTTCTTTCTTTCAATATTTTCCATTTTCCATTATCCAACTCTACCGGTCATATCTGTACTGATCTTGGCACCATCAAATCGAATAACACTCGGATTTATATTATTATCTGGAGGATCGTTTCTCAAAAGATCCTCTTCTAAAATCGAGTCCTTTCAACTTACGACTCCAAGAATCAAGTGACTTCAAAGCAATCCTAAGATCAAAAATAGTTCTCTTATCATTTCTTCACATGACTTATTACTAACATTAAATTATATCATCAGAGCATTAATTTTGACGCTTTTGTCCTTGATACAAATTTAACTTTTTTTTTCTCTCCTTTTTTTTCTGATGAATAAAATACATTATCATCCTACTAATAATAATTATTATAATTGTATATATATAATATATAATATGTGTATTAATTTTAGCCGTTCGTATGGAAGAAATATTTGATTAAAATGAATATTAAATATATCTGTTCTAATAATAATAATAATAATAATAATAATAATAATAATAATAATAATAATAATAATAATAATAATAATATAACGATAATATTATTGGTCACTTAGCTAAATCTTTATTTCATAAGGACAATAATGGAATTTTAAATAATTTTTTTCTTTCTCTTTTGTACAGAAACCTTACGATTTTGCCCCATTGAGCTCGGATTTCCGTCGAGGGGTTTACGGTGGCTGCAGATAACAGAGAGCATTATATACAAACAAATTGGACGAGTAGAGAATTTTTTGTTTTCTTTTTCATACGAACAAAGCATCGTGTAACAACGTCTACTTAATTATTAGAATTGCAATTTATTTTATTATTTTTTTGACAGCAATTAAAAAACAAAGATTACAAGCAAATTAAAAAAGAAAAAAAAGAAGAAAGGAATATAAAATTTCCAAGATACGTAGAATTTTTCAACCCGAAGAAGTTAAATCCCTTAAGCTTCAATTCTGATTCGATTTTACGATACAGATTCAATGCAACTCGAAGTGTCTGCGATTCGTGATTCCATTGTCGGTGGAACAATGAAAATTGATAAAAGATATTTGAGATTTTCGAGACTTTGTATGACTCAAATCAGACTCAAATTGATTCAAATTCGTAAAATAAACATCAGAAGATTCCAAATGATTTGAAATATTTCGGATCTTATATTACCGCGAAACGATCCGATCGTATTAACAATAATTTGCAACAACATTGATAAAATTGTATTCTATCTGGTTTTTAATTTAGCAAAGTAACGCATCGGAGAGGGAAACTGCAACTGCAAGTGAGGATTTTTTAGAAATATTAATTTTCTTTGTTCTTGCCAAATAAAATTTATTATATTTTAATCGGTATTATAACTTTGAACTTTAATACTTTGAACTACTGACTGATATTATAAAGAATTCAATTTGTTAGAAGCATCTGACGTTTGTTAAATTGTTGAAAGAATTTTATCGAAATATTGAAAAAGAAAATAAATAAATAAAACATAAAATTATAAATCGTAATTAACTTCATATCCTATATATATATATATATAAATTTATTTCATTAAATACTTTATTTATATAAATGATCAAAAGCGATAAATTCAATTACGATTTGTGATTATATTATAACGAAATGTATTAAACTGCTTTGTATTTTAATATCTTTAAAGAAAGCTATTCTAATTGCATTACTGACTACACCGAATAGTTCTAATGCTTTCTTTCATAATTAATTTAAATTAATCCTATTCAAAATTAATCCGTTTAATCTGATTCAGAGATTCTAATATTTTGAACATAGTCGTTTTAATGGCGCAGTTCTCATATACGATAAATTAATATATATTTTGATAATAATACGTAATACACGCGTAATACGCGTCAACAGATTTCTATTGAAATATATATTTTAATTGATTTATGTTTATGTTCATTGAAATGAAAAAAATTTCGAATAGGCTTTGACGTTTATAAAAGCTAAATATATATAATTGACAATATAAAAATATACTAAAATTTATGTATCTAACTAATTATTATTATTATTATTATTATTATTATTATTATTATTATTATTATTATTATTATTATTATTATTATTATTATTATTATTAATATTATTATTATTATTATTATTATTATTATTATTATTATTATTATTAATATTATTATTATTATTATTATCATTATTATTATTATTAATAATAATACATAATACGTTTTTTAGTTTACATCTTCTTTATGCAAATCAAAAGAAAAAATATTATACATCTCATTTGTAATATTATTTTACACGTGATTACGATATAATTAATTAAAATCGATTTAATTAATTAAATATGAAGCCAAAACAAAAACACGCGAGAGCGAGAGAGAGAGAGAGAGAGAGAGAGAGAGAGAGAGAGAGAGAGAGAGAGAAAGCAACTTTAAGAACAACATAATTTAACGTATAATTTTTGAAAAATAATAAATAAATTTTTTCTTCCATCACTATTAAAATCACTAAGACATAGATTTACATGTTATTTCCTTTTAAAAAAGTAAAAAAGAAAAATCATTTAAAAAAATTTGTTAGATATATATTTGATATAATATAACATATATTATATTATACATACATAAATATTTTTGATTATTTCTTTTGTAAATGAAATCTCAATTATATAACAGATTATACGCATGGAGTTCCTTTTTGTTCTTTATTTATCTCTCGGCACGGTCTATTTATTTCGAATCAGAAGTACTATTCATTTTTACATAATACACATAATGCATATAATACAGAATATAAATAGGAAAAAACATTCATTAAAATATAGACACAACTTCAGTAACGAAGTAAACAATGGTATTATATTGAGATGAATAATACTCAATCGATGGAAATGTAAACACGGTGTTAAGGACTTAGCAATACCATTCGTGACATTAAAACAATCTACAGTAAAATAACCGATTGAACTAAAATAAATGTTCTTTCATTTTCTTTTTTTTTTCTTCCTCCCCTTTATTTTAAATAAAGTCCACAGCAAGCAAACCGTTCTATCATTCATACTTATCAATTGTTCTCCGGATCGATTTAAAAAAACAAAACAAACAAACAAAAAAATGAGGAAAGAACAAACAAAGAGCGATATTCTTCACAAAAAAAAAAAAAAAAAAAAACCTTCATCTTTCCGTCCATCGAATTTCTCTTAATAAAAACATCTTTTCGAAAAATCAATTATACGATTATCCGACGATCTTTCAATGATCTCTTATTTCATGTCATCGAATAAACTACTTTTGGTTCATACTGGTGGCGTTCAACGAACGAGATCCGATCAACGTCGACGTGCTTGATCCCATTTTGTCAAGATCAGTGAAACATCGTATTAAAAAGAAAGAAAGAAATAATAATAATAATAATAGAAAATAAAAATAATAAAGAAGCGTACATCTAGCTGTCATGTAAGATAAAAAACCAAGAAAATTTCTCGAGATTAATATAATGTCGTTAATGAAAAAAATGTGACGTAACATATATATATATATGTGTGTGTGTGTGTGTTTGTGTGTGTATATACTCACTTATGGCGACACAAACACGCCAGAGCCCGCTATATGTCACTTTGCTGTCCGGCTCGACTGAGGCGTTCGAGGACGTCTTGGGTAGTTTTTCCTCGGTCAACAACCACTCGCCAGTACTGATGGCGACGGTGACGACGATGAGGGAGAGCATCGCCGAGAGGCCGGACGCGATGCCAAGACCACCCCCGCTCACCACGTTGCTCCTGTGAACGTGGTTCTCAACCACGACACTTCTTCGGCCACCGGTTACGATGGCACTTGCTGCTGCTGCTGCTGCTGCTCCTGTTGTTCCTCTTGGACCGGCTATACTATTCCCGCTGTCGCAGCACCAACAACAACAAGACATTACCACGCAGACGGCTCTTCTCATGGGAACATCTCACTGATTATGGAAAAAAGGGATTTAATCCTCGCACTTGTCCATTTTACAATTTTGACGATTACAACTTTGACGACGACCTTTTGTAATAAACGAAGATGACAAATTATTACTTCTTTACAATTATCTTTAAAGATCGATCGATCGATCAATTTTATTCTTTGAATTTATTCAATTTATTCTTCTGTCTCTTTTTTGTAGTCCCCCCTTCTTTTTTCTTCGTTTTTTACCGATTCCTTTTTCCTCTTCTCTTCTTTTCTTTTCTTTTCTTTTCTCTTCTTACTATTTCTCTTCTATTATTACTTCTTTTTCAATGATGAACGAACTCGAATAAATCCGTGAGAAAATTACTAAACCAACCTGACCCCCCCCCCTTATCTCTCTTCCTCTCTTCTCCGCCCACTAACTCCACTTCGTCGACTAACGATGAAGAATGGAAAACCAAAAACTTCCGATTTCGACGATCGATATATGCGAAATTGCTTCGAGGTTCAGTTTTATAGATCGCGGCTTTTGTTAAAAGGAATTCGATGTATGATAAAAAGTCCTGTACGAATGTGTGGCACTGTAAATAGATGATATACGAGAATGGAAGGAATTGCGATTGATGGAATATTTCCCAATGCACACATCGAACTACCATTCACTGTTAAAGAAGAAAACGAAAAAAGACATGGGGAAAAAAAAAATATATATATATATATATATATATAAAGAGAAAGAGAGAGAAAGAGAGAGAGAAAAGAAAAAAATGACGAAATAAAAGTAAACGCGTCGTTCGTGTAAAGGATCGAATTACGTTTTCGAAATGGAAACATTGACTGATTCGTGTCACGTTGAATAACACATTGCAGGTTACTAATCAAGCTGCATCAATTGGAATTCGAAGAATGATTAATCGAACGCGATCCGTGTCAAGTAGCGTAACGTCTTTCTAGATATTAAGCTTCAGTCTTGATCCAGTAAGAGAATTTAATAATTCCTCTTAAGGTTTCTGAAACATAAAATATAAAACACCAATTGTATATTTATTTTCAATTTACAAATTCACTATGATTAAAAATGACCATAAAAATGATCATATTAATTATTCTAATTTGTAGAATTTACAAAATCATTAAATTACATTTTTCAATTATGATAAATTTATTATTTATTGTATAAATTATTTATAATTATAAATACATATATATATATATATATATATATATAAATAGGAAAAAATTTATGTATATTTATGTATTATGAATCTATTCTCGCATTATATTCTCGAAATTAATTTTTTTTATATGTACCTATAATTATATTATTATTAATATATTATATTTAATATATTTAATAAATTCTTACGTATATAATATAACTTTTTTAGACCATATATATATATATATATATATATATATATATATATATATATATATGTGTGGCAAATATTTCGACGATAAATAAAACTGATAAATAAAAATTGATCTATCCTTAATCACGAATATAAAAAAAAATAAATAATCAGAGGATGAATTGAATCAACAATATCTTTTTATTAACGTAAAAAAAGAACAAAGAAAAAGAATGTGATTCAAGAAATGAATCATATCATCGACGTCTCTGACAAGAATATAAATCGTTGATACGAATAATTTTTTTTTTCGTTCGATCGTAATAGCGGATATATCATTTCGATTATGTAACATCATCGCCAATACCAAGAGAATATTATTGGTAAGAATACATCGGATCGTTAACGAGAAGAGAAAAAAAAACAAGAGAGAGAGAGAGAGAGAGAGAGAGAGAGACAGAGTTTCTTTCTCTATTCAAAATACAATATTTTCCCTCGGTAATCTCGCCATTGTAAAAGAAACGTCGAAAGGGCTCACAAAAGAGATAATAAGGAAGGAAAGAAAAAAAGAAAAGAAAAAAAAGAAAGAAAGAAAGAAAGAAAGAAAGAAAGAAAATTAAAAAAAGGGGTACATGCTCGTTACAAGATACGACAATCGGACTTATCTATTGATGTAAAATATGTAACAAAGCATTACGAATTCGAGCGAATATCAAAAACAATTGATATATATCGACCAATACAGTTATTCGAGGGTTATCTTTTCGTTTCTTCTTCTTCCCTGCATCCACCACCCATCTCTCATCCCATCCCGCTCGTTTAATCCCCTTTAACCTTCTTTCCCCCGTGGCAAAACCAGCTAACGTTTTTCGAGCTGCTTTAACGCTTTTCACGAATGGAATTTCATAGATACAGCCGATAATACGGTACATCGTACGATGTTCGGTCTCAAAATTCGATGGCCTTTCTCCGACGCCTGCCTTTAATTAATCGGATTAGGAGTCGCGTCAGCGAAATTGATTTTTCCCAAAGGAAGCTGAGAGCCCCTCTATTCGCCCAACCGAGATCCATCGAGAAGACCCTTTTACGACAAGACCATCTCAAAGGCTAAAAGCAGACGATGCAACTTTTTTTCTCGGTCTTTACGCATATGACATATAAGAGACGCTAAATATATATATATATATATATATATTTGTGTGTGTGTGTGTGTGTGTGTGTGTGTGTATGTATCAGCTCAAAGATCATACAAGTTTTGTATCGATTCACTAATAAAAATATTTACACACTTACAAAAGTAATATCTTCTTATAAAAATAAATTCGTATAAGGCATGTTATTTTCATTCAGAAAGTTAATATAAAATGCAATATTTTATCGATCGAAATAATAACAAATAAAGAAGAAAATGTCCGATATTTACTTGCAATTTCATTTCTATCGTAAACACGTTTTATTAAAACCAAGACATGTTTCTCTTTTTTCTCTCTCAATAATTATAATTATTAATAATGATAAAAATATATTTAATTATGATAAATTTATAAATTGACATTTTTCTTTGTTACAAAGTATTAATATATCGTTTAGAATATAATTAGATAAATTATATTTTAATGTTTATAATCAAGTATTTTTCAAAGATGAAAAAGATTTTTCTTTCTTTTTACCAGTTTTTTCTCTCTCTCTCTCTTGACGAAACTATTTCAAGCAACTTTAGCTTTTAGCAAATATAAATTCTGATGAGAAAAAATATTCTTTATTACAAAATTTTAAAATATTCTCTTTAGAATAAAATACCGGTCTAAATCGTGATATAATAATAATAATAATGATAGTTTCTCTTTCCTTAGAAGTCCTTGGTTTCATTTAATAAATGATGACGACAGACCAGGTCGATTAAATTCACAATTATTTTCTCTTTGTATGGCAAAAAGATTATAATTCTTCTTTGGAAATAACTCGATGGCCATTTTTTCCCTTAATTTTTATTTCTTTTTCTTTCTTTTTTTTCTTTTACGTCATTTTTTTCTTCTCACTTGGTCACTTTACGTTTCTTTTTTTTTTCTTTTTCTTTCTCTTTTTTCGCCTCTTTTTTGTCTCTGCCTTTTTTAACGGACTATAGAGAACGAAAGATAGAAAAAGAAAGAGAGAGAAAAAGAGAGAGAGAGAGAGAGAGAGAGAGAGAGAAAGAACTTGGCCCGATGCCACATTTTTATTTCGCAGTCGATCGTTTCGCGAAATACTTGCACGAGTATTATAATGTCTTTTCCTTTTAGTGCAATTCTTTTTTGCTTCGTTGATCTATATGTTGGTTGATCTATATGTTCATAAAAAAAAAATAAATAAATAAATAAATAAAAATAAATAAAAATAAAAATAAAAATAAAAACTTCACAATACGTTCCTATTATCAAAACTCCAAAATTCGATATTTTACGATTTTTGCATGGTATTATTAAATTACCGAATAATCAATTATTATATTTCATTTGATTATTCTACGATCAAGTCAAATTTATACGTAATCGTGCTAGTTCCATAAGGATGCTTTCAAAATGGCTTTCTAACGGACGCTTTTCTTCGAAAAGCGACAGAATGCCGATAATCCGTTATAAATGGTATTAAACATGTACTACCAGAATGTACGGATTATACGGATGATTTATGGACAGCGAATCGTATAATACTGAGAGAACAATATATATACAATATGAAGTCAAACGATCCTACGTTTGCAAAACGACAAAACTTGAGCAAAACTATTCCAAGCAGGAAATCTCGAATTTAGTTTCAGGACTCCAAGAATCTTGAATTATTAAGGATCTCGGATTATATTGGATACCATCGAATATAATACCGTTTTATAGGTAACTTTATTCGCGGTATTGTTACATTCAAAGTAAATCTTACGTGTTACATGAAAAAGATCGAATAGAAAAAAGGATCTATACTTTTGAACGTCATACGGATATATTAATATAGCGAGTAATTAGTTCAACGTTATTTTTTTGTTCTGAGATGTAAAAAAAATTTTCCTTTGTTTTTCCTTCTTTTTATTAATTTCAACATAAAAAAGAAATTAATAAGAAACGTCCCGTTGGCGAACCAATTGTAAATATCCTAATGAAATATTTTATTTCACGTTTCTAATTCATCCCATCATGAAAAATTAATCTAGTTCAAAACTTAGAATTAATATCTAACGTATATTAATATATATATATATATATTAATATATATATATATTAATATATATATATTAATATATATATATTATTATTA